GAAAGGATCGGAAACGTTCTGAAAAAGGTCCCAAAAGACCTGGGGATCATTTTCCAGAATCCGGATCAGTCTGTACAAGTCTGGATAAATCTGGATGAAATCTGGAAAACTCTGGAAATCTCTGAATAAGTCTGGATAATGTCTGGAAAAGTCTGGAAATCTCTGGGGCTGAAACGCCGAACACCAAAGGAATTTTTTTTTTTTTTACTGTCTATCGATTGACTACAGTGCAGTAGATATTTTTTATAAATTTGATTCCTATTTGATTTGTATGGTGCCTTATGTCTTATTTTATATAAAACTAAAACTTTTTTATTAAATTTTTCGTACTCCGCCTGTGCTTCATTTATTGGTAAATGCTCACGTTTGAATTGAGAATAAGTGAAAAAACTTTCTGACGCGTGTTTTTTTTACATTTTTTAGATCAAAATTTGGGTTAGTTTAGGTCAGTCCAAAAAAATTTGCGCGCCTCTGAGTGTGTGCACCGCCAACTTTTCCTTTCACCAGCCGCCACTGGTGTTCAGTGTTGTAGCAGTAGTCACGTGGTCTCCCGCCTTTTTTCAAATAATTTGTCCCTAATCGATTTTATTTTATTATTATCTGTAATTTTTTTTGAAATAAAACAACAACATTTTCGTACCATCTCCTTCTTTATTGGAACAGCCTTAAACACAACAATAATAGAAAAAAGTATTAAAAAAAAACAATAAAAAGTTTATAATACCTACTGCAAATAAAATTCACTAATTCCATAGTCAGCGAAGTTTCTGAGGATAAAGTGTTGATGGCATGAATTCAGAAGCTTCCACTGCAGTAATACCTATACTATAAATGAAGGTATATTTTTAGGAATTTTGGTCTTATTTGGTGCACAAATCACACTCCATGTGAATGTCAAACAATGGCGAATAAAAACCATCATTAATCTCATTTCCACGAGCATTTCCACTATGTTTGAATGTAACATAAAGTCTCTTTTTCTAAAAACATTTTAACAAGTCAGTTTTATCAAAAATTGATAGGAAATTAAATAAATGAACGCTAACACAGATCAAATGGCTAACTGATGACAAACACATTGACAAATAGACCTGTTTCGCATGATTAGAAAAAGAGAGTTTAATTGTAATAAATACAAGTTAGAAAGCAATAGAAGATGACATGCGCGCGCAACTCGTAGGCTGCAGTGAAGCCAGATTGTATTGTTGCAGAACAAAATATAGACAATACAAATCGAACATTATAACATTAAAGAAGTGATATAGTGTCAAGTGTTTTACAACGCTTTAAATCAGACAAAAGAAGAGCTTTAAAGTGGATGAACATCGTTTGCACTTTTATTTTGACAAATTTTTCATCCGGCAACATGGCTCGATGAAATTTCAAAGGAATATGTCAAGTATAATCTAACATAACCTTAAACGAAACTGCGGTGAGTTCAAGTTATATGTAAAGTATCAGTTTGCTCTTTGTCAAATTACACGTTACAAAAAAAAAGGAACGATTGATTCTGAACTGGCCCCTGAATAAGAACATGACGCAAGCCTGTCACAAACTTGCTTCTCATTGGACGCTCACCTGCAGCCTACAAGCGACGCGCGCAGTCCAGGTAATAGGAGATCGGTCTATTATATTCACCATTCACAGCTCACAGATGACATTTGCTTGTGGCTTTGTATACTAGCGCCGCATAGCTTTGGCAGTCATAAAGCTCCACACGTGTTATTTTCGAGACAGCTCCGAACGAACATTTTACATGAAAGTTTCCTATCTTCAGGACGGGTTAATCTGTGATTATGATCAATAATGGTCAAAACGTCAATTTTTTAAATGTCACTCGAGGTTCAGTTTATCTCGACGCTACGCGTCTCGATAAACTATAAAACCTCTCGACCAGTAATGAAGCATTTCCCGTCTCGGATTGTAATAGTATATTACAATCCGAGACGGAAAATACTTCATTGCTGGTCGAGAGGTTATTATAGTTTATCGAGACGCGAAGCGTCGAGATAAACTCAACCTCGAGACAGAAATGAAGTTTTCCGTCGAGGTTTGTATACTTTTTTATTTTCAACCCTTAATTTTCTGATGCAAAAACTAAAGATTCTGTTATACGAAATTTTCATATAGTGTAAAACTGGCCTTAGAAAAAAATATTTCACTTTTTTTGTCAATGTCATCAATTTTGACGATCTCAAAGGCCCTGTAAAGGCCAAAACAAAAGACGAAACCACAGGAAACCGCAAAATCAACAACCATAGATAAGATCAACAACGCCTTAACGACGGTAGTTTTGTGGTTTTCGCTCAGTATTTTTGCGGAAATAATAGATTTTCACTAGATTTCTCCCCGTTCTCCCCAAAGAAATGATTTCGGAAAGTGAAGATGAAGCGATGGATTGTACCCCACCTGAATTAAAAGAAGCAGCAGACAGGATTGGAGAGAGTTTGCTTCCAGCAAAAAGCAAATTTCGGTACGAAAAGGCTTTTCAAATATTCGAAGCATGGTGTAGCCAGAAAGGAACGAGAAATACTGCCTCGGAGACCGTTTTGTTGGCGTATTTTGGCGAATTATCTAAGGAAAAGAAGCCTTCGACTTTATGGTCGACTTACAGTATGTTGAAAACCATGATTAAATTGAAAGAGAAAGTTGATATCTCCAATTACGCAAAACTTATAGCTTTTTTGAAGCGGCAAAATCTGGGCTTTCAGCCGAAAAAGTCGAGCGTTTTTTCCAGAGAAAACATTAACGAGTTCCTCACGAAGGCAGCTGAAGAATTCATTAGCATCAAGGTAGGTTTTCAAAAAATATACAAAGAAGATAAAAATGCGAAAATCAAAATGATTTTCTGTATGCTATAGCTAGGTTACCCATTTTATTTTTATCTGGTTTCAGGTAGCGCTAATTGTTGGTGTGTCGGGTGCATGTAGGAGCGATGAACTAGTCAAGATGAAAATGGAGCACGTCAACGTTTTGGAAGGAAAGATCGCTATAGAAATTCCACACACAAAAACTTACACAAGTCGATCGTTTATCATAAGCGATCCAGATTGGGTTGCTATTTTCCACAAATACCTCACTTTGCGGAAAAATTTGAAAAATGACAGGTTATTTGTTCAATGGCGAAATGGGAAATTACATAACCAAGCAATTGGCTATCATTCAATCTCAAAATTTCCACATAAAATAGCTGCTTTTTTGAAGCTTCCAAAAATTGAAACTTTTACAGGGCATGCTTTTCGTCGTACTTCCGCAACCTTATTGGTTGACAACGGGGCCGATCTATTGCAACTCAAAAGACTGGGAGGGTGGAAATCGAGCACGGTTGCTGAAGGCTACATAGAGGCATCTTTGGAGAACAAAAGTAAGACTGCTCTGATGCTATCCTCTACTTCCAAAGGTATTCAGTTGTCCAGTGCATCCACAAGTACATCACATGCGGAAACTCATCCGCAAGCGCAAGAGATAATAGTTCCAAACGAAACACAATTCCAACAGGATGGTCTCAAGATTTCCATTATAAACAACAATGCTAATTTAACAATTAATGTAAATAAGTGAATAGATTTAATTAGTTCCATGTAATACATGTGGTTTTATTATTATATGTGAGAGCTGTATGAAAATTATCAATTTGGAACGAGCAGGGAAATGGGGACGGAAAAGCATTTGCCGTCCCGGACGGAAAATGCTTTTCCGTCCTAGGCAGGCATATGCATTACCGTCCCGATAAATGTCAAAGTCCAGAAATGTGACACTTTCAAGATTTTGAAAAACCTGCAATGTCAACATTACATATGTGGTTGAAAATAATATACTATTATTTTTAACCATAATTTCTTGAAAAAAAAAATCGGGGCAACCAAATGAGGTCGGCAAATGAAGAGGAAAATGAGAACGGGAAATATTTCCCTGCTCCATTTTCCGTCCGTGGACGGGAAATGAGGACGGAAAAAATTTCCCGTCCTCACTTCCCGTCCTGGGACAGGTAATGGAGCAGAAAAATGAAAAGACAGAAATGTGACATTTTCAAATTTTTGAAAAGTCAGTAATGACAACATTTCATATATGGTTAAAAATAAAATAACATGTTAAGTGACATTTAAAAAAAATTAACCTTTTGACTATTATTGATTCCGATGTTTGTAGGTCAGAATCACAAACCAGTCAGAGTTAATTTCATTGATTGAAAACTAGTTTTTCTGACCAATGAACATTATTCTGACTGGTTTGTGATTTCTGTGCGAACAGACGTAATGACTACAAACCATATTTGAAGTTTCTAATCCCCCTGTAACCTCAAAAAGTTCTAATGCACCGACTACGTTAATCACCCTGTATATATACATATTTGTTAAAACTGTTTTGTCACTGCTTATTCGAAGGTTACCAACGGATATTCGCTGATAAATCCCAATTAGACCGTCAGCTAATAACAGATTTTGCTGAACTATTTTCTCTTTTTGGGGATTTCCACCACTGAAAATTATGTCAGTGCTGAGCTCAAAAAATTAAAATTCAACAACTGGACTCTGCTAGGCATAGGGAAAATTTACTTTCCTTTTGCCGGAAAATATAGGTACCTCAACAGCTGACTGGCTTATGGGAATTTTTTTTCTGGTTCCTAACGATATCAAATTTGATTCTGTCGATTTCCCTAAGCGAGAAAACGATCAGCAACTGAGTATTCTTTCACAAGATCGCGCCCTTATTTCAACCCTTTCAGTACGTGCAAACCTTATGGCTTTGGTTTTTCATTATAAATGGTGATGTGTTAAAATGCCATGAAAGAGAAATTGAAAAAATAACTTATTTTTTTTCTGCAAAAGGAACGTATATTCTCCATAAGCCTATCAGACGAAAGGGTCACTAAATTTTCATTTTTTGAGCTCAACACTGACATAATTTTCAGTGGTTGAAATCACCGAAAAGAAAAAATTGGTCAGCAAAATCTGTCATTAGCTGACGGTCTAAATAGATCTAGTTCATATTTGTTGTAGGTTGAAACTGATATGCAAGATTTTATGAGATGGAAAATTATGGGAGGTCGTAACATTCTCAAACAAGATGTGGTTCCGCACAAGCTACTGGAAATGGATGATACTATATGTCCAGATCCAAAGAAACCAAGATTAGATGTAAATAGAACAGCATATTTCGGTGTATTTTTTGTTTTTGGAGTGAAGCTTCTTTACACATGGTGGGATAAGTTTGTTCCATGTGAGTTGCTATGTATCGAAATCATGCAACGCTAGGAATTTGCTCTACTGCCACCCAAATAAGTTAGTAGTGGGGATTGATTAAGCGGTGAGCGCGTAGGTAGCTCTGTTCCAACAGACACAAGAATCGTTCGGGCCACTTTCACGTGTCGGGAATATGGCAAATTATAATATTTTTTGACGCAGATACATCAATGCCACCGAGAATGAACAATATTTTGCAAGATTTTAGTCAGATTATTGAATAAATTAATAAATAAAAACTAAAAATTTAAATAAAAAATCATGTGATTGAAAACGCTCTTTGATTGGCTAAAGCCGATTTTGACGTTTTTGTTGCCACTTGGAGAAATGCGAAATTCAAATGAGTTAATAAGGATTATAGGATTATACCTATCCTTTATTTTTTTATAATGTAGTAAAGGACGAAAATAGTATCTAGCTAGTGAAATGTATAATGATTTACTAATGAGGAATTTGGCATCCTCGCATTTTTGTTGATTTTCTGGATTTTGACATCACAAACCAAGTTCGCGTTTTTGCACCAGTTTGAAAATTCGATTTAAAAAAAAAAATCAAAAATAAGCGATTTATTTCGGAAAAAAAGTATACAGATAGTATTAGAATGACTAAAATAATTTAAATGTGTTGTTGAAAAATGTAAAAGGGGCCCATTGACAAATGAATTGATCGACTGGAAATCATCTTTCTAGAACGGTTCCCATGCCTATTGGAACAGAACTATTATTACTTATTACACAGTAAAAAAATAAATAATATTTTGCACAATAATATGCTGTAACATTGAGTGCTTAATAATAGGCGATCCAAAATATGTGATCAGAAGACATTTGGCGTGCATGGCGGCCAAACATTTCATCATGTGCAAATATATTTGTAAAAACTTTTAAGGAATTATCCTGATGTTGTTCAGAGCTAAGAAATCAAATTACATTAAAATAATTTAACTTCAATGTTGTATATGGCATTTAAAAACGGTAGTTGTCTATAAATAATGCATGCACGCTAGGGTTTCCATAAAGGTTTTTCGGAACTCAGGACAACAAGTCAACAAATTCTGACGAAATCCGGACTTCGCCAAACAATAACTTTTTATGAAGGAAGAATTCACACTTCCGTTCCGGCGTTATTAAAATTTAATGTTTTATCGTTGCGTTGCGTGCATGCAATAGTGCAGGGCCAACACAAATCACAATTTAAACAGACTCGAGAATCCTGGGATTTACCGATACCGATTTAGTACCTGTTTTACCGCGCGAGCCATCAGCAATCAGTCAATATATTTCCATCTCACTCTATGTCATAATTTTTGCAAAGAAAGCCGATTCCATAGTGCACCGAGCGTTTGTATCGTAACGATTAAAATATTAAACCAAGTTAGGTTGTTTTCACGATCTCTGTATTCCGGACATACCTCCGAATTCCGACCGGACTTCCCCGGACACCCTAAAAACCCAAACATGTCCGGGTAAATTAGGACGTATGGAAACCCTAATGCACGCACACTCCTATTTTTTTTCCAAGGTGTCAGAGCAGTGCAATTTTGTTTCGCCAGGACAATATTTTAATTAGAGATGTAATTTGATTTTTTAATAATAATATAATATTTTAGATTTCTTTGGCTCTATGTGTAAGCCTGTACTTTTCTGTCCCAATCTGATTTTCTTTTCAAAATAGCTTGTGCTTTGCTTGGTGCCGAATATTATGGGCGCGTTTGGGTTCACGCTCGGTGCACTCAGAGCTTGCACTTTTGTCTCTCTTCCGTTATTTATGAAGCTCCGACAACGCTTGATTGTGTTTGATTTGACATATTTTGAGCGCTCAGAGCGAGCTCGATAAACTCCGAGTTTGTGGGGTGGACAGCTGGAGCGTCCATGCGCAGTTTAATATGTTTGTATAACCTAACCTATTTTCCATGATAAAAAGATAAATAAACAATCCTGAATTTTAACATATACTTGTTAAGTGGATAGGTTTAGCTAGTTTGTTTAAATGTTTACAATCAAATAGCTAGTAAATTCTGCATAATTGTTTACTTTTAATTAAATTTTCTCGATAGTCCTCAACATTATTATTGAACATATTTTTCCAAGGGAACTTGGCAGCCTCAGAGTGTTTAGGTGCGTTTCATTGTTTATGTAGCACGACATTTTTTTGCAGAATACAAAAGCAAAAGGGGCTGTTTGAAAATTATCGACTCAAATGCGAAACAAACGAGAAAAATCTGGTGCGGTGCAAATGCGAAATGCGGGCGCGGACTCCAAGAAATATATGCTAAGAAAAATAAACAATAATCAGCTGATCGCTCAACCCAGCATTTTTGCACAAGTTTATTTGGCTTGACATGGTGTACTCCCTGTGACGTCACGTTACTCCTTAATCGCTCTGCTCGCTCCGCCGAGCGTTAACCCAAACGCGCCCTATGTCATGGATCAGGATGATATCCTCTAACTGTCTTCGTTTTCCCATCATGAAACCATATAGTTGAAGAAAAGTGATAGAACTTATTTAATTGTGGATAATCATGCTTTTAACAAACTCTTTGGTTTGCACTTTGTGAGATCATCCCGTTAGAACAGCGCTAACTAAAGTTAGTCGTCGTTTTCTCAATAATCCGTTCAAAGGTGAAAATATACTGAACTGTTTACGCCTGGGACCCTGTAGAAAGACACATTGTCCGTTCCCAGTGTTGCCAACTTGGTAAAATAATTACCAGATCTGGTAATATCGACCCCGGCTTTAGTAATGAAGATTTTCAAAATATATCTAGTAATTTTTGTAAAGTTTACTTTCGACCCGTGGGCCGAAAGTAAATGAAATTCCACCTCGGTATGTAATATACTATTTCTTGAATTTATGGACGTTTGCACCGTCCTCTTTGAGGGAGCTTTAACGATAATCAACGCTTGAAATGACATTTTTACATGTTGGAATTTGACATTGGACATTTGAATGTGAAATTTGAACCAATAGGAAAGAACTCTGCAAAAAATAAATCGCTATTTCGCACCTATGCCATGGAGACTAGTCTTAAATAGTTATGCCAAAGGTTACCAATTAGGCAATTCAAACCACGTGACATTCAAGATGGCATGGCGGCCACACATTGACCAAAAAACACAAAAAAATGTCTAGTTTCTGCCCGACTCAATAGTTTACGTACCTAGTAAACAAATATTTTATTGAATAATCAAAATCAAAGCTGCAAGCAAAGCTCGAAGCAAAATAATTAAAATATACATGAAAACACATATTCAAAACAAACTTGCTGGCCGCCACGCCATATTGAATTTCTCGTTTTGACAGATGGATTGAATTGCCTAATATACCTAAATCAGGCCTATGATAAATCATTTTCTGTTATTTTAACAGCAACGTTAAGTAATCTGTCACTGTTTATTCTACACGTAAAAATAGAGACAGGTATAGATTTTGAGCTATAACGCAACTGTTAAAATAACAGGACAGGATACATCATAGGCCAGATTATGTATGTTTACCAATATCTGTAATGTTATGTTATACAGAATGGATTTTTTTTACAATAATGTATTTGTTTATAAGTTTATAGGTATCCTGTGTATACCTTAGGTATGCAGTGTTATTTTATCTGAATAAGTTTTAATTTTCCATACATTGTTGTTATTGCATTTTTATTTTAAACCTACGAAAAAATCAAAAAAAAAAAACTTAAAATAAACAATTGAAATCTAAAAATTTTAGCACAATTTTTGTTTAGCAACAAAGACCTATAGTCCAACAAATACCATTTTAAAGTCACGTGATTTTTCTCTATCCTTGTTGAATACATCTCAAACAGCGGTGATAGTAAAATTGACAAAAAAATTGCTGTCTAATTATTCTTCATAAAATTCTTACCTGAAATAGAATCCGTCACTGTCATAAATTAGTTTGTCAAAGTTATTTTCGAAAATAATACAATGAACAAACACAGCTAATAATTTTGACTATATTAACCTTTTTCCAACTCGAAAAGAAGCAAATAGAAAACGGGTACCCAGTTTAAGTTCAGAATGTATTACAACAGACAGCAGATACGACAAAAGTGAGTCTCGCAACAATTGCAAGTATTAAAATTGCCCTCTGATTGGTTAATACTACTTCAGAAACGCGTTTGTAAAATGCTAGTGGGAACATATCTTAAAATTCAATAGTAATTAATCACCAGTAGCATTTTGTAGGTGATATGAACGACATAATCAATGGACATACGTTTTTTGCCACCAGTATCACGTGACTTTAAAATGGTATTTGTCGGACTTTAGTAATATTCTGGTATTGGCAGGATTGAGAAAAATCTAGTAATATTCTGGTATTCCAAGTTTCATTTATCTAGTAAAATGGCCATTCATATAGTTGGCAACACTGTCCGTTCCCTAGTGAATTTCACATCCCACAACCAGACAACTTATCAGGCATGTTACGAGAATGTATATTATTTATTTGATCAACTTAATAGGGGATTAAACAATTGTAATAGTCAACAAATAGGTTATTAAATAAATAAACTTGCAAGCAAAAGTTGCACTATGCCCCTTTAGGGCCAAATTATGGACCAAGGGTCTGGTTGTTACCTAGCAGGTACTTTCTATGCTCTAGATATTGGGAAATGGACTAAGAAATAAAAGAACTTGTCAATTATCGATATTCAATATATTTATTATATCGAACACAGCGTGGAAAGCAGAGCGTGTGAATTCATAGAAATAACTATACGAACTGACTCAACATCAAGACAAAGAATTATAAACCCTTTCTTAAGTAAACGATTCCTCATCTGTCTATCTTACATATAAAAACTATTATAAACACATTCAGTCATCAATAGCTGCGATATAAATTAGCAAAGTATAGGCTAATAATGAAAGTTTAATTTA